GTTATTCAAAATATCAGTAAACATGTGGCTTCCAGAGGAAGAAATGGCGGACTAAAGACTGCTCCGCAAAAAGTGGAGCTGACAACCATGGCAAAGAATGAAGAGCCAGTGAGTAGACCAGCTCTTTGAACCTCTCTGCACAAAGAGAGGATGGGAGATTGCCCACAAGTGCTCCAGACAGTTGTTCTTCATGAGGAGACCACAAGACAGTCGTCTCTGGTGGGTTTTGAGAACTGGGAAACAAGGGAATAGCCATTTTGCTCAAACTGTAGTCAGTGCCTTTAAAAGAACACTAAGTTCACATACTTCCTTTTCTAATTATATTTGGAAATGCTAATTAACTACTTTTCAGCTATTAGAAACCTTTGGATCGACAAGTCTGAAAACACCGGGTGAGTCTACCTTCAAACTTTAATGAAAGAAAATGTCAATTACAAGCTTAAGAACTTTTAAAAAATTGAAATAAACAGCAAAAAGCTAATTAAGACTTTGATTTTATAAAGTTACCTAAAATAATAATATAATAAATTATTTGAAATTTGAATAAGTTTGAAATGAGATTTTGGAATTAACTATAAAGAATCCTTCCTGGGGGATGTTGATTTGTTTCTGAATTTTTTTAAGATATAAAAGAGATAAACATTTTTTTAAAATGGATACTAGGGGGAACTAAAGATTTTAATTAAATGAGAAGAATACATAAACCTGATTTACAGCTACAGAATGACTCAGAATACTATAAAATTGGATATACTGAAGGATACTTTTGAAAAATGGAATTAGAAGTTAATATCAACAATGTCAACAGCAATATTTGTTTCTATGGATAGACTGCATCCAAAAGATGTTTTGGAAAAAATGGCAGAAGAAGAAGAAGTTTTATCTGTTAAGTCAGAAACAGAATTGGCACTGAAAGTGGATCTAAAAATGACTGGCTACAAGAATGACATGGAAAAAGATGTTTCATTGGATATACAAAAGAAACCAGTTGATGCTTTAAAAATCAAAAGGAAATTACAAATAATATACCAAGAGAATGACCTGGATAATTCTTTTATATTGGACTTACAAAAGAGATTTGTTAAAGCTTGGGTGAATCTTGTGAGAAGGGATAAAAAAGAAATGAAATCAAGTTCTATGACATTACTTGAATGGACTAAAAATTAAGATGTTAGAAGTAAAAGGAAATAATATAAAGTTGGTTTATTTGATGGGTGAATCTTGTGAGAAGGGATAAAAAAGAAATGAAATCAAGTTCTATGACATTACTTGAATGGACTAAAAATTAAGATGTTAGAAGTAAAAGGAAATAATATAAAGTTGGTTTATTTGATCATGGTTAAAATAGATATGTTGTTATTTCTGGCATCCCTTAATGGACTTTTGCTGACATCAGGACTGAAATGACAATGTTTTATGGATTTGTTTATAGATAAGAGATGGGATATGGGATGAAGAGATTATTGGTTGTAAATTAAGAGGAAATGAAAA